TATTTTGTTTTCTTGTATTTTATCGCTCTGCTGACCCTTGGGGTCCATTTTATTTTGGTATACCTTTTCTAGGTACGTTAGCCTGTGACCACGGAAATTGGCCGAGTCAAGTGATGGATTAGTACGGAGAGATTGAGACAGAAGGAGGTACTGGATAGAGAGACCGGGATGGTTTTTAATGTGAAGACAACAACAACAACAACTAGTGCTGCTGGATAAGCACGGCTGACCAGGTTGACAGGGATGAAGAGATTGAAAAGTCATTTTACTAGGTTGCCCTCGTGGACAGGCAACAGGAGAGAGTGGGCGCCACGTGCGCCACAAAGCATCAAGCAACAGTCGCAAGAAATTCACCGACGAAAAGACGCGCAGACTTTCTGCAACACGGAACAATTCCAACTATTAATACCAAAGACATGTCGGGAGATACCCCGAAGATCCACGCCCGTGGAACGGTCAATTGCACACGTCTCGCTCTCAAACCATACATGAGTACTACCGCAGTAGCGTTCGTAAGGATGACATAATCCACCTCACGGACAATGTAGATCCTGCTACTGCCTGTATGCATATAAACAACGACAAGTCGCTCGTCCAACCCGATTTCTCTACCACCCCGCCCCCCGCAATGTGAACCACCGCTGATAACGCCGCGCGAACCGAAATGGCTTCATTGCGGCGCAACTTGGGTTCATCAATCATCAATCATCAATCGGCTCTTTGGCTCAAGGTGGAGCTCCACCGACCGTGTACACCTAGTACACCGAACGTGCCGACAGTCCACCTCAGTGTCTTCAAATCCTCCTTTGCGCATGTTCGTCAAGAACTCCCTGGCTAGCAGAATTGTTCCCACCGGCGTATCACTATTAGGTTGGCACAGCAAGGTTGCGTTTCGACAGAGGATTGGGGCTGCACTGGCAGCCTCCGCCGCTGGGGCTTCAACACCAACGTTGACGACTATGGCGACTACGCCGGCAACGTTGTTCATATCAAACACGTTTCGGGAGGCAAGGTGCGTTTGTATGCACTTTTGCAGGCCCTGCTGTGTGCTTGTACACCAGCTTTGACGGAAGGGAGGATGGGTTGGTCCGTGATCCTTGGGAGCATGCCACGGCTGTGTTTGCTGTGCTTGCTGTGTTGGCCGCACTTCACGACATTACATTATAGTGCATAGAGTGTAGGACCGTTACCCACTGGTTCCCATGGAGCCCGCGTCCTCGTGGCAGTGCTGAAAAAATTATCTTTGAGCTCAATAATGTTTGAGATGAACGGCGGTGGGTTCCATCTCGGAAAAGTGCCCTGTACACAGATTCCTACAAGATGACTTGCTGTTGCTACTGTTATTGTTGCACCAAAGTTAAGTTAACAGCAAGTGCTAGCTCTGACCGCCCTCTACCACTGACGGAATTCGAATACCTTGTCAGTGCTGTATCCCAGTTAAACATGCATTATTGTAGTTACATAGTCATCACATGAAATATTAGTTGCTATAGAGGTAATATTATCACCCCGGGTGGTTTCCTGAAGAGCCAAGGCCGGGGTGCGATTTCTAACGTGACCCTAGGGTGACAAGCTGTACCGTGCCCGCGCTCGGCGATCAGGGGTGTGTGACAACAGCGTGACGTGATAACAAAGGGCGTGATACCGTTCCTTTCCAAAACTGTTGGTGGCAGTGAAGGTGTGTTTGACAACAGCGTGACGTGATGGCGAAGATCGTGATACCGTTCCTTTCCAACGCTGTTGCTGGCAGTTAAGAGGGGGGTGACGACAAAGGGAGGTGATATCGTAGGGTTCCTTCCAAAAAGACTGTCTTTGCTTGTTGCTGTCAGTAATGGGGTACAAAGTCGTGTGTGGTGGTGTTCTCAGATGAATGGTTAATGTACCGGCTTGATCCCGGCGGTGCCGGTGGAGACTACACAGGAGCGGTGGCGGGCTTTTTGTGGTCTGAGTGGTGTTCTCCCCTGCACTCACTGCTGCCTGCTGGACCGCAAGCTGAGCCATTTTCCCTAACGAATGGAGTATGTGGCATGTTCGCCTCCTCAACCATGACAGGGCGGGAGCTACTTTCGAAGTCCTCAACCCTGCGACGGAAACGGTTCTTTCGGTCTGCGCCAACGGGGGGGAGGAGGATGTCGACGACGCCGTCAAGGCGGCGCGCGCGTGGTAAGCCCGCAACGACGCCGGGTCGATGCTACTGGTGTGAGGCTGACTATATTGACATGGTCTCTGTGTGATGAAGAGCATTTCGTCACTAAATCAGAAAACGTATGCTAAAGCCTCGGCGGGAATGTGTGTCGGGACTCCCGCGTGGTACAATGTCTCGAAATAGTCGACAGGCCTTGAATATGCCTGACTGGTGCGGTGAAATTTTGCCTGTGACGCAGAGCATTTCTTTGCTTGCTGTTCAGAGCATGTGTGCTAAAGCCTTTGCGGCGACTGTGTTGCAGAGTTTTTCTTCACTCCAAGTTCAGACAATGTGTCCTAATGCCTCGGCGGGAATGTGTATCTACTTGTTTTTCAGAGGCCTCGAGCAAACAGCTGTGTTTTGTTGTGCTCGGCAGAATTGGTCTCTAGATTATGCCGAGAGGCTTTGTCGAGAGGCTTTCTGGTATTTGTTTGGATCGTTCTCCTTTTCTTAGTTTCCAGCGGCTTGTTCTGTGTTCATAGTGCATCTGTTCTAGATGTTCAGAGACAGACCCGTTTGGGAACAGTTAGTGCCTTCCTTCATGTGATTTTCGGGTTGGAGCGGTGACTTGTAGAGAGAAAATCTGTTGCTTGAAACGCGCCGTTTCTTCTCGAATGCTAGTTGTCGAGGCACCCTGTTCGGGGCAGTCGTCCGACATGACCTCGTTGGAGGCACGAATGGTATGCCTTCGCCGCTGGTGGCAAACAGAGATGGATAGACGATCGCAATGGAAATGTCAATGTTTTTTCACTGAAATGGGCTTGCACGGAGGAGACGGGCACCCGTCTCCCCTAGTTTCCTCGACTTGCCACATCGGGCGGTAATTTGTTTGTTCTTACCAATACACGACGAATTCATCTGTATCCGCAGGTAAGAGTCCGGGGAAATTAGCGGTGGATTCATTATCCCTTTGCTTGTGCTGCCGTTCGTGCTTGCCACGATTCACAGCTTCGACGGGCCCTCGTGGGGAATGAGCAGTACCGGCGTGCAGCGTGGGGGCTGTCTGAGAGCTCTGGCTTCTGCGATTGAGGATGACAAAGAGGTTGGACTTTCACTTGGCCGATGGTATCATGCTCATAGGGACAGGGTTGGGATCGTTTGGTGGTAGGATCAGGGTTGGGAATGAGATAATATTGACCCTAACCTATCGTCATTGAAGACGACAAGCCTAGGGTTAGACTCCAAGCACAGAGAAACTATGGGATCGATCCCCATCCGAATCCCAAGAGCTGCACACCAGCAGTGGCTTCATCGGACATGAGTTCAGGGATGAAACGAGAGAATGCAAGGATGTCGATACATCTGTCTTCAGACGGGGATGCATCAGTCAGAGGATGGTGTTTCGTGATGATCATCACATCGTCACATCGTCCAACTGAACAAACTCAGCGGGTTTGGTAAGCACAGTTAGGGCGAGACAGCTTAGGTAGGTGGATGGCGGAACCTTGAGTGCTGCAAGAGATTGGTTGTTCATTCCCCAAAGTTGACCTTTTGTTCCTACAGGTGCACACGTTCCCCCAACTGGCTAGACTTTTTGTGCACAACGGTCTCGTCCTCACTTCTCCTTTGCACTCCCCCTTCCCCCCTTGTCGAACTGCATGACCTGTCGCGGGGCCTGCTTTTCGCTTTGGACGTGTAGGCGTTTGCCCTTGCGGAGACTCAAGACACGGGCAAGCCTATCGAAGACTCGGAGGGCGAGATCGACGAGGCCATTGACTACCTCAGGTGTAAATCCCGGCCGCGGAGAAGCCATGTTCTTGCACCTTGAACCTAATAGTTAACTGCTTGGGTACTCCGAGGTGTTTCGATACTTGTTTTTGTCGGTGACATCAATATGTCATCTGACGCAGCCTAAGGAAACGGAATTGTGCGTGCTCCTTGGTTAGTGCGATTTGGCAACCATCCAACACAACGAACACGTATTACCCTCCCCTCGTGTTCGCTGTTGCTCAGGTACTACGCAGGTCTGGCGGAAGGTCTCGACGAGGAAAGCCCCGAGCAGCTGGAAACCCCCAACTACAACCAGAACTTTCGGACTCGAGTTGTTCGCGAACCGATAGGAGTGGTGGGCGCGATTACACCTTGGAACTACCCCCTCTGCACGGCCGTGAACAAGGTGGCCGCCGCCCTAGCCGCCGGCTGCACCGTCGTCCTGTGAGTGTTGCCCCTCCCTCCCTTTTCTGCTCGTCGCTTTGATTGGGGCGTGGCGTGGAAATACACCTCACCTTCACATCTGTGGGCTACTGGACCGCCGTAGGCTGCCACTGCGTTGCCGTACAGTACTGCGATGGTTTCGTTTGCGTCTGCAGGAAAAGCCTGGTTTGATGTTGTGTACTATATCTGGTCGTCGTTGTATGTGGTGGCCCTGCATTGCTGACCAGCATTTGCAGAACAGTCTACCAGAACCGGCGGCAATCGATTTCGCACACCCGAGATGGTCTGGTGCAATTAATCTTGTCTTTATGTGAAAACTCGGCATTCGTCTGTTGCGTGTCTCCCCGTCGAAAAAGGGGGGTCGATTGATTGGTTGGGAAGCCAAGGAGCGGCGGTAAAGAAATACACACAGATGCGAAGAGGGCCGACGTGAAGAGATCAAGAAGGACGGAGGTCGTGTCCCATGACACGTGTGCATATCACGCTCCCTGTCATTTCATCCCTTCCATAGGCGGTAGTATTGTTAGCTTGTGAAGACATTTTTTTCGAATCGTCGTATGTAAATCTGTAGGACACCGCTGTCGTTGCGAGAAACTCGTGGAGAGCTGGCGTCAAGTTAACATGTCGGTGTTATGTTCCCTTGCGATCTTTCGCGGTTGCTTCCGCGCCACCGCCGCTCGCATCACGCTTCAACACTCAGCGGCCCCCGTTTTCGATGCGCAGGCCGGGCTCGGAAGTAGACGCAGGTTCTTCTTGCAACCCTTGCTCCGCTTTACATATCTTCTTCTGCGAATTGATGCTGCAAAAGGACAGCCGCCATCGAAACCTAGCACGTCATGTGTTTCTTGCGGTTGTTTTGCTTGGCCAGAAACCCGTCCGGGCTGTCATGTTTTTCTTGCGTTTTTTTGTTGCTGGCCAGGAAACCGTCAGAGCTGGCCCCTTCCACGTGCCTCCGGATGGCCGGACTCGCAGAGGCGGCCGGCTTCCCGCCCGGTGCCTTGAACGTGGTGACCGGCGAGGGGTTTCCTACCGGGGATGCGTTGTCGAGACACCCGGGGCTGGACAAGGTGTCCTTCACGGGGTCCGTCCCGACGGGCCAAAGGTAAGGATAAGGGCACCAGAAATCACATTTGTTCGCGTCGGGTTCATGCTTCTTGTGCGGCGAGTGCAAGTTCATGCTTCCTGAGAAAGTTCTGGGCGTGAATAAACTTTGGAAGTGCTGTGCAGAACTCGCACGTAGTGATGGGTGTGTCGTGATTTGGAGAAGGCTGAAGTTGTTCGGGTCGTGAAACAGAAACGACGTCTGCGTTGTCGATATGTCGGGTGTGCGGTGCACGTGTTGGTAGTGTCCTTAGCACGGTCGGTGCTGACACAGCTCGAGGTTAACGGTAGGCATTGCAGGCCATCCTGCGGGCCAACTGTCTGCTTTCTGATGGTAAATTTAGCGTTTCCCTGGTCATGCTAGGTGTGGGGCTTCAGTAGGGCATGCGGTTATCAAGGAGACTCTCCGGGGATGGGTTCGAAGAAGAACCCTCACGCACGGGATTGGCACTGTTGTAGTGGGGCTAACGGAAGGAGCAGACTTTTGCACCAGGTGTGCACGATACATGGGTTCGGCTGTATGTACAACATTCTGTACAGATTACTTGAGAGTCCTTCAGCAGAGAAGGCGAAACGGTATGTCGATAGTTTCCTCATCGGTATAGATGGGGAGGCCCCGACACAGCTTGCTATTCGATGAGCAGCCAGCGTGCTACAGCAGCAACGGTATGGATCGAGGGCTGCAGGCCACCAGAGGGATTGGTGCCTGGCGGCCCCGGGAGTTCGCGGCCCACCGAAACAAAGCCAAACGTTTTACGACGAGAACGCCTCCTTGAATTCCCACCACGTCTTGAAGGGTCATGGCTGCAGCGGCGAAGGCAGGGCCGACCGACGTTCACCTCGAGCTAGGCGGCAAGAGCGCCATGATCGTGTTCGACGACGTGGAACAAGTGGAGGCGGCGGTGGACTGGGCGTGCATCGGGATTTTCTCCAACTCCGGCCAGGTCTGCAGGCGAGTGCTAAGTATCAGTACTACTGTTAATATTACGGCCTTGCTCAAGACCAGGAAAAAGCGAAACGGAGGCAGTGACCACCACCCCGTTCTGGCCCGAGTTTTTTGAAAGTCCGATTACTCTGCGGCACGAAAAACGACGACGGCGTCGACAGCGGCGGCGTTGGGACCGTCTCGTCGAGAGCTTGCCGAAAAACTCTCGATCTTGGCACCCTTATCGTCGTGGAGTACTCGAGCTTTAACAAATATGCCCAGAGGGTGTAGTATCTTACGCAACGTGGACGATATGTTGCTAAGTGGAGACGGGGAGGTACGACAAGAAGACTTCGGCGTTTTCATCTGTGGGTGAGTGAACCTGTCGTGGGCGTGAGCTCAGCGAACATGTAAATGTCGCGCTCATGTGCATATTGTTGAGCCCATTGACCATTGGGGACAAGAGGTGTTGTGGTTTCGCGGTTTCCACTACAATCAAAGCGCTTCGCGCTTTGACTTTTGGCCCTGAAACGAATGTCTTGTTACCCCCCCCCCCCCCCCCCCCCCCCCCCCCCCCCCCCCCCACCCCCCCCCCCCCCCCCCCCCCCCCCCCCCNCCCCCTTCCCTTCGCGGCATCTACCGCGTGCTTCTTGCTCAGCGCGACCTCTCGACTGCTAGTGCAGTCGAAGATCTACGACCAGGTTGTCTCGTCGGTCGTAGATCGAGCGTCGCGCATTTCCGTGGGAGACCCAATGAGGAGGGGACGTGATGCTCCCGGCCCCTGCATGGGTCCGCTCGTGAGCGGCCCGCAAAAGGAGAGGGTCCTTGGATTCGTCACACGGGTAAGCGCGGGCACACGTACAGGCACTGCCTTCCTTTTGACATATTCTATCGCATACGTTAAACGCACGAGACTTGCGTATTTGTTTGCTACGGCACTGCGCGTGAGCTGCTGCTGCTGCTGCTGCTGCTGCTGCTGCTGCTGCTGCTGCCGCCGCCATGTCTGTGGTTGCTGTTGTGCCCGAAATCCGATTTCCGTGCGCTTAGAAGGTCCCACGTATGCGATAGGCGCGCGCTTGTTAGACCGCATCTTTGCTCTTGATGTTATCCCTCACATTTATCTTCAGTGATATTGCCTCAGCAAACGACTCGCGTGTATGCTCAAAGTGTCGCTGACCCCCGACGAAGAAACGCTTGCGGGGCCGGATACAAGAGGTCGGGGCAGCCGCGACATGCCATCGATTACCGCTACCGAGCAGTCACACTTCTGATAACATCCCCTCCACCTCCCTCCCTCGGTGTTTACCATCGGGGTTGGGTTTTCGTCGCTTGGCAACGACGTTGTAAAACAAGCCGCCCCTCCCGGTGATTCCCATCGGGATTGGGTTTTCGTCGCTTGGCAACGACGTTGTAAAACAAGCCGCCCCTCCCGGTGATTCCCATCGGGATTGGGTTTTCGTCGCTTGGCAACGACGTTGTAAAACAAGCCGCCCCTCCCGGTGATTCCCATCGGGATTGGGTTTTCGTCGCTTGGCAACGACGTTGTAAAACAAGCCGCCCCTCCCGGTGATTCCCATCGGGATTGGGTTTTCGTCGCTTGGCAACGACGTTGTAAAACAAGCCGCCCCTCCCGGTGATTCCCATCGGGATTGGGTTTTCGTCGCTTGGCAACGACGTTGTAAAACAAGCCGCCCCTCCCGGTGATTCCCATCGGGATTGGGTTTTCGTCGCTTGGCAACGACGTTGTAAAACAAGCCGCCCCTCCCGGTGATTCCCATCGGGATTGGGTTTTCGTCGCTTGGCAACGACGTTGTAAAACAAGCCGCCCCTCCCGGTGATTCCCATCGGGATTGGGTTTTCGTCGCTTGGCAACGACGTTGTAAAACAAGCCGCCCCTCCCGGTGATTCCCATCGGGATTGGGTTTTCGTCGCTTGGCAACGACGTTGTAAAACAAGCCGCCCCTCCCGGTGATTCCCATCGGGATTGGGTTTTCGTCGCTTGGCAACGACGTTGTAAAACAAGCCGCCCCTCCCGGTGATTCCCATCGGGATTGGGTTTTCGTCGCTTGGCAACGACGTTGTAAAACAAGCCGCCCCTCCCGGTGATTCCCATCGGGATTGGGTTTTCGTCGCTTGGCAACGACGTTGTAAAACAAGCCGCCCCTCCCGGTGATTCCCATCGGGATTGGGTTTTCGTCGCTTGGCAACGACGTTGTAAAACAAGCCGCCCCTCCCGGTGATTCCCATCGGGATTGGGTTTTCGTCGCTTGGCAACGACGTTGTAAAACAAGCCGCCCCTCCCGGTGATTCCCATCGGGATTGGGTTTTCGTCGCTTGGCAACGACGTTGTAAAACAAGCCGCCCCTCCCGGTGATTCCCATCGGGATTGGGTTTTCGTCGCTTGGCAACGACGTTGTAAAACAAGCCGCCCCTCCCGGTGATTCCCATCGGGATTGGGTTTTCGTCGCTTGGCAACGACGTTGTAAAACAAGCCGCCCCTCCCGGTGATTCCCATCGGGATTGGGTTTTCGTCGCTTGGCAACGACGTTGTAAAACAAGCCGCCCCTCCCGGTGATTCCCATCGGGATTGGGTTTTCGTCGCTTGGCAACGACGTTGTAAAACAAGCCGCCCCTCCCGGTGATTCCCATCGGGATTGGGTTTTCGTCGCTTGGCAACGACGTTGTAAAACAAGCCGCCCCTCCCGGTGATTCCCATCGGGATTGGGTTTTCGTCGCTTGGCAACGACGTTGTAAAACAAGCCCATTCACTTCGTGAAGTCGGCAACCAAGATACCGTTTTTTTTTTTACCTCTGTTTTTTTTTGGCTGTAACCATGACAGGTGGTCGAGTAGATCATGTTGTGTGGGGTGGAGAAGCCTCACTCCGCGCAGGGGGGATGATCGCACCACGTTGTGTTAATATTGTCAAGCTCCCTCGAGGCAGTTACACAGTGCTTACAACTGTCTCTGTTAGTCAAAGCACCTGAAAATATATTAAGTCATACGCAGCTGTCATCCGTATGCAAGGAAGTAAGCACAAGATGCCGAAAACCCTTGGCAGGATGCAGCGCACCCTTCATGCGACTCGCCGAATATCTCACGGCGCTTCGCGCTTGGTGATGTGAGAGCCTGGTCCGGTGAGAACCCGGCGTGCTCCGTCCCGGCTTTGTAGGGATGCGAAGTCAATGGTCTAACGATTACGGCATGCACGACTATGAGTACACCCCCCCCCAAAACCCCCGATTGGCCATCGGTGATCGGTCCTGTGGGAACAATGCTCCGTCCTCTCGAGGACGCGTGGTCAATGGTCAAACCGCTATGACATGCAAAACATAAGAGTACGCCCCCCCCCCACCCCCCCTAACCCAACGGCGGTTACTCCCATCCCTGCAAACCATTGGTCCTCACCCGTCCAGGCCGTGGAAGGCGGAGCGACGATTATCTCAGGTGATGGGGCCGACAGAAACGCCGCCGTACAGAAACCCGCCGTCGGATACTACGTGTCACCGACCATCCTTTCGGAAGTGTCTGACGAGAATGAGGTCTGGGACTCTGAGGTTTTCGGGCCGGTGAGAATCTTGAATTTGGTCGGTACCGTTTGGGTGCCTATAGCACCGAGTTGTGGACCGTCTTTGGCAGCATTTGGTCGGATTCCCGCGAAAATCTCGTGCGTTTTCATTTGTTTGCTCATGGCGAACGTGCGTGCTTTGCATGTTTTTTTTATTGGACAAGACGATCGACAATACACAACACGCAAGCGCCATGGGAATTGCCAAACGGTTTTGGCAGCGGTGGAAGTGTGTCTGTTTCTTCCTTGTGGGTTGGCGATCAATCGAATGGTGGGTGGCCTCGCTGTTTTTTTTTGTTCGTGTCGTCGTTTCTTCTTCCAATCACAACAGGTGCTATGCGTGAGGCGTTTTGAGGAGGAAAGCGAAGCCATCGAAGCTGCCAACCGCTCGGAGTTTGGCCTGGCGGCTTCGGTCATGTCCTCGGACGAAGAGCGGTGGGTGAACACTGACACATGCATCCAGCCTGTGGTATCACCGCAGCTTGTTGAGGTCACCCTTGACCCTTTTTTGAATGTTTGTCTTGCATGCTTTCAGGACAACGAGATGCTTAAGACACAGGTTTTCCGATTGCCCGCTTCCAGCATGCCAGATAACTTTTCTTCCTCATCTTGCACCAACCGAACCCAACGTATCCATCTACTGCAACCAAACGCACAAGCCACCTTTTTTCGCTGAAGCACCCGTAAAAATATGACGCCCCCTCTTTCGCTGCTCTTCCCGCTTTTTGTTGTCAGCTGCAAGAAAGTTTCCAGAGCGCTGCGGGCCGGAGTTGTCTGGGAAAACTGCAGCCAGTGCGCCCCCGTGGAGGCCCCGTGGGGAGGCTTCAAGAAGAGCGGGGTCGGGGGACGCGAGTTGGGGCGATGGGGCTTGGACGAGTTCTTGGGCGTGAAAGCGATCACCTCCTGCAAGCAGACTTTCAGCTACAACTCTTACGGCGGGGCGTCGCGTTCGACTTGATCGCACATGTCTGGGTCATCGTAGACATGCACTCTTATACATTTTTTCTGGAGGGGGGTTGAAAGGCGGGACGCAGGACCGCTTGCTTCCCAAGTTTTTGCGCAAGCTCGAGAAACTGCGATTGTGACGAGCGAGTCCTCAGCGGCGTGCAAATCTGCGCCTTTCACTGTATTTCTCCCAATTCGTTTGTTTATCAAGGACAATGACATTTGCCCCGATGTCTAGTGGGTACCCTCGAAAACCTGCCAAGCAGCTTGTTGTCAGTGGGATTGATTAAATTCGTTCGTAGACAGTAGGCGATAGGAAGGAAACGACAGGCCCTTCTCGCGTGATTTCTCGCAGGTAAGCATCACGCGGAGAAGATGGGAGGACAATGTAAGAGCCACCGTATTACGCTCCCTCCTGTATGTTACCGCGAGTGATACATCAAATACATTCCACCGAAAGGTGCCGTCTGTGGCGCCAGGAAAGGCGGGCCTAAGAGACGCACACATGAAGTTCAGGCGGGCACTGGATTGAATGAGTGAGTGTGAGTCACCCCGATATGGCGGGGAGTGCTGCACAAACTGAGAAAAACGATAGATTCCGGATCCTGCGAACGTGTGTACCGCATTTTTGCGTTTATGTCCGAAGGGTTAGGTTTTCTCGTGGTCAACCGTGCAAGCTTCCAGAATCACCCGTGTCAAAGAACATTGCCATACAACGCGTCAAGTCCGATTTTTTTTTGAAATGAAGCATGTCATCCATTTAGTGAATCTGATCTGCTCACATGGTTGACCTTGTTTTCATCCCCAAATCGATCCTATAGCAAATACCGGCAAATTGGTAACGACCAGCTGGCAATGCAGTTTTTGTTTTGGCTGTCTCAAGCACAGTGCTGTTCGATGAGCAACGCTGACCCTGTAGAAAGGCGTGAAAATATGTTGAAATGTTCAAGTCTCTGATTAGGCCGCCCTTGTCGAAAAGGGAACAAGGAGAGAGCGCATCTCAGGTGGCGAACACCCGCTTCAAGCACCAGCGGCAAGGAACTCAGAACTGGGAGCATTACGCAACATGCCTAAGAAAGATATAGAATACCGGATACATCAGAAGATAGCCCGAAGGCCTACGCCCCTTGAACGGTCACTTTGGCTCCGTGGTACAAACCATCAGACACGAGTAATTACAGCGGTAGCCTTCGTACGGGTGACACAAATGACCTCACGTACGTTCTCAGCAGCAACTGCCACATCTACCGAAACACAACTACCGCGCGGCCGTGTCGACTGTGGGGGCGACTACGGGGGCGTTGGCATTGCGCTGAGGCCCCGTTCGTGCCGCGGACGTGTTGACCCGCCGGATGCCTCTGGTCGTGTCCGCCACGCAAGCGAACACGTTGCTCCCAAGCATGCGGCACCACGTGGGACCCCATGCTCCGAAGATGTAACTGCGGATGAACTTGCGTTCTTCTTTCGCCTCCTCCTGCGAAACACGTGCATTGAGCACCGGAGGTGCGTGTCTGGTAAGAACCCGGTGCCACTTTTGATTGCTTGCGCGCTTCACCAAACGATATTCGCTCATCATACGATGTCATTTGACATCCTCCGCAACCGATAGTAGCGAGTGAGTGGCGTGTTCTGCATCGACTCGGGTGGGTTGTTCACCCCACGGGGTACGATGTTCCCCTTTCATGACATAAAGACATCTCGCAAAGAACCGATTAATCAATTCACTATTTTCGCCATCATTCCACGGTTAGTACCCGTCGCTTAGACGTGTTTCATTCCCTACGGCCGTTTTCTTGTCACTGAAGAGCTCTGATCTGGATCACTCAAGAGAAAACTTTGCGCAGGTGAGTTTGCATTCAGAGCTTCTTTTGCTGCCCTTTCTCACCTCTGTTCGACCGTCATCGCAAGTGTTGCTCTTGGTCCAACTCTGTATTTTCTTACGAATAGCTCCCAGGATCACGGTGGAGGAATCAATGTACATCGGGATTATGAGCGCTGGGACAATCCACCCACGCGGAAACGACGCGAAGAAAATGGCAAACGCACGGGTCGTCAATCGGAACCATTACTTGCAGGCTGCAGAGTGCGGCATGCAACACAAACTTCTACGGCAGTAGAGTTCCAATTGTGAGATTTCAGTCATTAACAGAGCCTTTCGAAAGTGATGAAGCCTTTGGTCGCTTGAATGCCAATATTTCGACACGCTGTACGGACCGCGTTGTAGTGATGGATCATGTTCGGGGGTGAATGTAAACGGCCAAGTCGGCTGCACGCTATGAGCGCAAGGAGATTGTTTTCTATTGGCCCCACGACCCTACATTCTAAAGAGTATGAATCACATCACCCACGCATCTCACCCACGAGGGCCACAAGCTGCAGGACCACGACGGCCGTGTCCATTCGCTCTGCCCTCGGTGTCCCTTGCCATCGGTAAGCGGTATCAGCTAGCATTGCCATGCAGGTAGCATCGATCAGCGTCAACAACGCCCCCATGGTGTTGATGACACTACAGTCGGAGGAAGCAGAGATTGCGGGAGAGGGTGAGTCGACATGTTGCCAAACACGAACAATCAAATAAGCTGCGGAGCACTACAGAGTACAAGAGGACATGTCCGAATGGCGCCGTCATCAGGCAATCGGTTTGGCATCCCAAACCGCCAGCAAGGAGCAATATGCCTGTTATTCGCCGACCCACGTCACCATTGTGAAGGATGTGGATCCCACAGGACGAAATACAGTATCTATGTCACAAGAAACCGTCTCTCAAGATTAAAACCTCCATGGAAACAAGCTTCTAAGTTCGAGGTCAAGCGGATAATCCCGTTGAAGATCCTCTCCTGTGAATGATCTTCCGTGTAGAGCTCGTCGGGGAATCGACCCGGGGGACGGTGGCCCCACGCTCAGTCTACTGTGAGCAAATTGCTGTCGGTATTCTTCGAGCATCGTCCAATGCCACATAGCCTAAAACGAGCATCAACGTTATCCGACGTTGCGCATTATTTTGTTAAATTGAGCAGAGCTGACGACTCTTCCTAGGCCAGTCAACGATAGCTCGAGGCTCAACCACTCAATGTTTGCCCCCCACCCTCCAAGTATTTGCTACTCCAATGAGTTTCCCACGGGGGTGTCGAATGCCACCTTGGTCGACCCGGTATTGAATATTCAGCTGGTTGGTGGCATCAACTCCCAAAGCGTTGCGATGGAAGCCACCATACATGCATGCGTGTGGCGAGGTCGTCGGATAGATGCGGGGGGTAGAGAGGAACGCTTAGTGCTCTCTGGCTGTTCATGGAGTTTTTGGTCGAGGAGAAAAACGTCTCGCACCCTTCAGCGGTCGTCGGCAGTCTATCATCAGCTTGAGCTGCTCGATATGAGCACTTCAAGTTGAGGATATGATAATTTTTCCAAAGATGGCAGACTACGCCAGGCGTGGCCTCTCTCACCTGTTAGCAAACGGCCTGAAGATGACGAGCAGGAGGAAGGACAAGGAGTGCAGGCCGCAGAACAAGAAGAGCTGCACGACGCTGTCGTCCACCAACACCGCAGTGCACGCGATACCTGTCATCTGAGCGACTCAGCGCAGGCATGCGGCGACAACAAGGACCGAAGAAGCCAAAAAGTATTGAATGGAAACTCGCTAAGTTTCGGACAGAATCAGTTGACAACATCGTAAACCGCAAAAGCTGGGAGAGCCTGGACGGCGAGGTGGATAAGACGGTCAAAATAACCGAGAATGCAAGGCCCAGAATTGCCTGACCGACGCCACGGCTATCGTTTCTCTCTCGAAAAGCACCTCTAGGAGGAAGTACACCGTGAACCAAGACGTTTTCTTGGTAAAATCCACGAAGAGCGGCTCGAACCCGATCCGGAACTGGTCTCCTTCCCGCACAGTCTCTTCGTTCGGGGTCTCCACAGTCTCCCACGCCCCCGTGTTGGCCCATGCGAACATGCTGTTATCTTCTTTTAGGCCGGTCCGGACCTTGGAGAGGAAGCTGCTGGGAACGGTGCCATCGGTTCCATCGTTCTCTTCTTCACCGGCCGGTTTGAACACGATCAGCGTGTCGGGGGCCACTCGTACGCGGTGTGTGCGGTAGCTCAGAACGATCATTAGGACGGGATAAACGACCTGAGGGCCAGCACGATGAAAATAACCGCCACGGAAGACCGGTTCAAAGCGGGGTGAGACAAAGAGCTCGTCACCTATCATTGTGCGTTCGAATGATCCCCAAAGACGATGAGTTTTCTGTCTGACCCTACAAAGCTGCAACAAGAACACTGGGTGCAAGAAAAACCTGGCAGCCCACGTCGCAAGCTTCGAAGCGCTCTATCCCAACATGCCAACAAATTCAGACCAACGTGTCTTCAGAGTGCCTGCAGCTAAAGGAAAAATGCTCCATTTCCTGTGGTGACAATGCTGTCGCCCAAGAGCACTCTTGTGTTCTTTTGGCATAGTGTGTCTTACCAAGGACGTGCACGCCAAGTAGAACACCCACGGGCATCCACCTCCGCGCATCGTCGCTAGCTGCGACGCCATCGCCCCCTCGAACGCGAACAGCAGGAACAAGAGCTCGATGTGGGGAAAGTAGAGCCAGACCGAGCGCGACCGATACCGGCAGTCCGCAAGCATTGCTCGAAGACCCTTGGGGCGCGAACGAATCGGTATTCCGTCTTCCTCGAAGTCCACGTCTACGTCCACGGAGTCGGCGTCGTGTTCTCGAGATAATGCCCGGTCATTGGATGCCGAAGTCGTCAACTCGTCGGGATCGGACTCTGCGTCAGGGCTGTGCACCACTCTCGAGGCCCGCCGTGCCCCGAGCTCTCGGATGGGAATACCACGGCGCTGGGCCTTGGTCAATTCGTCCATTGCAAGTTCCTGGAGGTGCAGAGTGCAACGCGGTTGGCGGGCAGGAGAACCAGAGTATTGTTGTGCATGGTCGTCTGGCTGCCATTGTAAACTACGCCGCATTTGTTTGCCGTACAGACCAAAAGGTTTAAGCGTGCATGGTCTCGCGCTAGGGCGGGGGTGGGGTACAGGAGTTACAGAGCCAAGGCACCGGCACCCCCATTGCTGCTGCCAAACCCCGCTCATCGTAACAGTGTGTGAGTACACACGATTTCTGTGCTTCACCGCCAACAACGCGAATCGGGGGAGATGAGGCCGACGGCGAGGGATCGGAGCTGCAGAGATTGACCCAAAACGCACCTTCGACAACCAGTAGGCCTCGACCGCAGAGGCCAGCACGATGTGGACGACAACGATACCGAGGAGAAGAGAGACGAACAGACCGATGTTGCCCAAAAAGACCAGGGCGCCGATGTCGCTGGCCGAAGTTGGCTCGATTCCGCATGCTCTTGAGCCGTCTTGCTGAAAAATGAGTTCCCCAGCCGATGAGAAAGTCCGACCGACCGAATATGGAGGCCAGAGATTCACCCACCTACAGAGGCGTGGGGGCCAGGGGATGCACGAGCTTGACAACCTAGATGAGAGGGAGTTCGTCAAGAATTGTGGGTACCTTCTATGGCGGTGCTTTCTAGCGGCAACCCCTTGCAGATGGCGTCGTGAACTTGATGGGTGCATCGCTCTTTGCGGTTTTACAGTGCAGGTATGAATACTTTCGACCACGTTTTTTTTTTTTCTCGGACAACCGAAGGGAAATCACAGAAGCACCCTGTAAAACATTCTTGTTTGCGGTTACCAGACCTGAGATTTCGGGTGAGCTCAGAAAGCAGCGAGTCCTCAGCTCCTACTGAGTCAACCAGTGACAGCGTCGCGAGAAACTGGATCTGAGTTAAGAGCAGCACGGCGATGGTGACCGACGGCGCTCGAACGCTGACATGTGGCTGTGCGCTGGCAGCCCCCAGAACCCCCTGCCATGGGAGGAGCGAACAAGCAAGCGTGCGATTGGTGCAGCCTCAGCAAAGTTTCCCAGCAGGCATGTTTCGCGGAACTGGATACGAAGCTTGCCGCGGACGGTCCAGAGAACCAGCGTAATATCAGTCAGTTTGCCAAAACAATCGTTTTTTTCATGCCTCTGTGACGCCTCAAGGGCTTGCAAGAAGCCGAGAAATGCGGTCATTGCACCTGAGGGGGCATTGATGTGCGGGTGGACGCGGCTGCGTTGGGGGCTGAGGCTGCGCTGGCGGATGTCGATACGCTTGCAGCGCCTCCAAACATGCTGCCTGCCGTGACGACGGCCAAACCGCTCCAGGCAAATATAGATGCTGCTCCTGCAGCGACGGTCCCAGGGTAGACGACCTGGACAAAGGACAAAAAAAAACAATATGTACATAAGCACCAAACGTAGTGCAGACTGCGCTCGGCGGCCGTCCCCGTGTTCGATTGACCTCTACGGCGAGTGCTGCACGTTGGTGCAAATGACGTCGACAGAGGTCTCAAGGCAAGCACCCTTCTTCAATGGAGAACCGCCGTGCGTTGTGAACTATTCACGGAATGACGGCATGGTCCACCTATCCAAGGGCAATTCAATAGTTTGATCAGGTACCACGAACCTCAAACACGGCAGCTGGGGATGCGGTCTGTGGCGCACGACCCTCCGTCCTCGACGGAGCTTGTTCGAGAGTTGGCTCTGCGTCGGCGTTGTACTCAGGGGCAAGCTGTGGCGGCAGGCTGCGGCGATCGGTTGTTGGCTCGGTAGGGGTTACCCCAACGGTTGGTGACGAACTTGGTTGGTCGACTGTGGTTGGAGCCAGGGCTGCGAAGCCCCCACGAAGAGGGTTGGGCAAGGACGCGGGGTATTGGAACATGGTCAAAGGTGGAGACAGGCCTTCGACACATGCGGCAAGATTGAAACGCTCATGGTTTTCAAACCTATTTTAACTATCAGTGTTTGCGTTGCAAACTGCAGTATATTTCGGTGTTGAAGACACCGAAAAGTATCATCTGCCGGTTGAGCGTGTGGTTCCAATATCCGCAGATCCGTGCAAGGAGAAGACATCTATACATTGGCCTTTCTTCGCAACACGTCAATTCCAATTGCCGGGATATCATCTGCATCGGTTCTACGTCGTACCCTCCAACAAGTTCGTCGTCGGCAACACCGGCATCAGTTGACATCAGCCGTGAATCCGAGAACGCGTTACCTGTGCTGGGCCCTTGTGTGCGTCCCTGACTGGGTCCCTGGGTAAATCCTGGAGTGGGTGTTGGAGTGGGCGCTGGAGTAGATCCTGAGGTTGGTCCTGAGGTCGGTCCTGAGGTCCGTCCAGGAGTTTGTCCTGGGGTAGGCGCTGGAGTGGGCAGTAGGGTAGGCACTGGAGTGGGTCCTGGAGTGGGTCCTGGAGTTGGCGCTGGTGAGGGTCCCGGAGTAGGTCCTGGCGTAGATCCTCGAGTGGGCACTGAAGTGGGTCCCAGAGTAGGTCCTGGTGTAGGCCCTGACGTGGGTCTCGGAGTTGGTCCTGGTGTGGGTCCTGGAGTGGGCGCTGGAGTGGGCGTTAGAGTTGGCGTTGAGGTGGGTCCTGGAGTAGGCGCTAGGGTAGGCACTGGAGTGGGTCCTGGAGTAGGCGCTAGGGTAGGCACTGGAGTGGGTCCTGGAGTAGGCGCTAGGGTAGGCACTGGAGTGGGTCCTGGAGTAGGCGCTAGGGTAGGCACTGGAGTGGGTCCTGGAGTAGGCGCTAGGGTAGGCACTGGAGTGGGTCCTGGAGTGGGCGCTGGAGTAGGTCCCGGAGTTGGTCCTGCTGTAGGTCTTGGAGTGGGCGCAGGAGTGGGCACAGGAGTGGGCGCTAGAGTTGTCGCTGGAGTGGGTGCGGGAGTAGGTCCTGGAGTGGGTCCTGGAGTAGGCGCTGGAGTAGGCGCTAGGGTAGGCACTGGAGTGGGTCCTGGAGTGGGTCCTGGAGTGGGTCCCGGAGTAGGCACTGGAGTGGGTGCCAGAGTCGGCACTACCGTGGGTCCTAGAGTTGGTCCTGGTGTGGACGTTGGAGTAGGCGCTGGAGTGGGCGCTGGAGTGGGCGCTGCAGTGGGCGCTGGAGT